GGAATGCTCCAATCCACATAAGAAGTCTTCCTGGAGACATGCAAGATACCATGTGGACAATGGCTTCAGCCTGTAAAGACTGAGTCATGCAGGGACATGTGACTTGCCCAGGTGACTCCAGAACTCCATCTTGGAGCTGGACTTTGCATAGGAGGGAGGAGGGGGGGTCTCCACCCACAAGAGAGAGTCTATTTAAACCCGTGGGAGACCCCTCCATTTTGTCTTCAGCTGGCTAAAGAAGGAGCCTCTCCACCCCCCCAGGATACTTGAAGGAAACTGAAACAAATGACAGTAACTATAGGGGGTGTGAGTGATTGCTGGACCCAGGCTAAAAGGAGATTAGCCTGTAAAAGGGAGCATTCTGGAACTGGTGAGGAACTTATCTGTATTTAGTTTGATTAGACATAGATTTGCGCGTTTTATTTTATTTTACTTGATGACTTACTTTGTTCTGTCTGTTACTACTTGGAACCACTTAAATCCTACTGTCTGTATTTAATAAAATCACTTTTTATTTAGTAATTTACTCAGAGTATGTATTAATACCTGGGGGAGCAAACAACTGTGCATATCCCTCTATCAGTGTTATAGAGGGCGAACAATTTATGAGTTTGCCCTGCATAAGCTTTATGCAGGGTAAAACGGATTTATTTGGGTTTAGACCCCATTGGGAGTTGGGCATCTGAGTGCTAAAGACAAGCACGCTTCTGTGAGCTGTTTTCAGGTAAACTTGCAGCTTTGGGACAAGTGATTCAAACCCTGGGTCTGTTTTGCAGCAGACGGGAGTGTCTGGCTCAGCAAGACAGGGTAGTGGAGTCCTGAGCTGGCAGGGAAAACAGGAGCAGGGGTAGTCTTTGCAGATCGGGTGGCAGCTCCCAAGGGGGTTTCTGTAATGCAACCCGTCACAGTGTGTATAAGTGAGACAGATCCTTTCCAGGAGCCAGGTTTTCCCAGCCCTTCCCCATTGCCACAGGCTCCTCTACACGGGCAGCATCTCACCGAGCAGCAGCCCCTGAAATGCTGTTAGAGCAGGGAAGGGTGCCAGGGTGTTTAGTGGCTGGAGTGAAGCTGGCAGAAGGGCAGAGCCATGGGTACTGAGGGGTCCCTCTGCACCCAGCCAGGCTGGCTTTTGGGGCATAGTTGGCAGGGAATCTCCCTGGATGAGATCTGCACCAGTCGCTCATCTGCTCTTTCTCCTGTTGTTTGCCCAGGTCAGCTGAAGCTGTCCATCGACATGCAGGGCAGGCTCCTTGTGCTGCACAGTAAGTATCGCCGGGGGGGCGTGCCAGGATACAGTCCATGTCACCAGGAGCAGGGGCAGCTCACGAGAAGGGCACTTTGTAGCGGTCTGTACCAGATCACAGCGTTAGCCCCAGAGAGGCTGGCTCAGCAGTGGGGCTTGAACCTGGGGCTGCTGGTGTGGAAAGAGCAGGCTCTGCTAGCAGTGGCTGCCGCAAGCTCCCCAGCCTCTGCTTGGGGCCCAGCCATGCTAGAGGGGAACAGAGCACCGCCCCACGGGCATGTGCTCACCTGTGCGAAGGGTGATCTGTGTGGTCTCACCTGCGAGGATCTGCACTGACTCTGGTGCCGGTCCTGCTGCCCTGACCTAACCCAGGCAGAGGGAGAGCCGGGCTTGGCTCTGCCTTCCGGGACCCAGCTCCAGCCAGATCTCCTAACTAACCCAGGCAGGCTGCTCGCTGGCAGGAGCCTCACTCCTCCCGCGGTGTCCTTGAGTGAGTCACCAGTGATGCTGCCGCAAGGTGCGCCCAGCGTCGCCCCTGCTAGGCGGCCCAGCCCGTCCGGCCCACTCTGCGGCACATCGGGGGCAGGGCTGTGCTTTGCACGCCAGGCTGCACCGAGCCCTTTAGCAGGCACAGGACAAATCTCCAATAACAGCGACTCTGAGTGACCCTCGGCTGGCTCCTGAGCGCAGCATGGGGATCCCGCCCATCACTCCCTCCAGGCCCCATGGCTGGGGTTGATTTCCCACAATGCCCAGCAGTCTGGTTCGGCAGCATAGGAGCCTGCAATGCCCAGAGCGCGATAATGGATCCCTTGTAACCACTGGAGCCCATGGGTCAGCCTGAGCTCACCCGTGATTGGCTGAAGTCCCCAAGGCGGCTGGACACCTGGACTTTCAATGGGGGGGAGGTGCCTCACCTGCGTGGGCACTTTGGAAAATCCCAGTGGGCACCTACCTGCATGGTTAGATGCCTGAAAACCTTAGTAAACAGGGTCCCATCCAATTAAACGCACAGCGACGTCCCCAGCGACTGAGAGAGGCTCTGCAGTGCTGTGAGCTCACCAGCTCGCATGGCTGGTACTTCTGCGGGATACACCTTCACACACAGCAGCAGTGTCGAAAGCCTCACATAAAGCAACTGCTCCCAGAAGCTCGGGGCTGAGCGCAGGTTGCTGCAGAACCATAAAGGTGACCTGCAGAAAGCTGGGCTTGGGTCATTGATGCTTCGTCATGCGGCATAAAGAAGGACAGAAAGATTTGTCACAAATGGCCTTTGCTGGTGTCACTGGAGGTCTCAGATATGTGTACTGGGCACTCTGGTGAGGGCATTGCCCTGTTACCCCTGTGGGGAGCCCAACACTTGGTTTCTGGGGGAGACAAGGCTCCAGTGTCTTAACTAACCCCCAATGCTTTGTGTACCGCAGCAAGCGACAGGCTCTCTGTGGCTCACAAACAGCCAAAAGGTCACGTTTTGACCTAATTTATCTCCTTTGGCCTGCTGTGTTTCCTGACCTTGTGTGGCGATGCATTTAACTTTAACATTTAATTTCTGAAGAGCAGAGGAGAAAAGGCGCAGGGGTCAGGGAAAGGAACAGGAGACCCAACCCTTCTTCCCCTCTGGGATGGTAACAGTGGCCTGTGGCTAGCTGGGGCCTCCTCGGAGCCTATGGGGAAGGCCTGGGGCAGTTAATAGCGCACACGGAGAGATGCCCACTGATCTGAACATGCATGTGCAAGTAGAGCAGACGCAGTAGGAGGGCCGGGGTCCGGCACACTGGAACATGGAGCGCTCCTGACAGCAGACAGGAGGGTGGATGGTCTAGTGGTAGAGGGGCTTGTTTGAGTTCAGGCCAGTGGGCTCAGTCTTGTTCATGCCACGGACTCGCTGCGTGCGCTTCGGGGAACCACTGAACCACTCTTTGCCTCAGATCCCAGCCTTTGTGTGCTTCAGCTTCCTAGCCTTGTGGGCAGGTGCTGTGGATCTGTGCGGGGGGCTGAGCTGGGCAGTCTGAATGGTAGCAAATGGAGCCAGGAAACACCCACATGTTCTGCAGAAGGTATCTCTGTGCCCACGGAGAAGCTGCCCTCGATGGCAAGACAAGTAGGGGAGCTGGGGAGCAGCGATTGGGAACTCCCTGAGCCAGCAGTGAGCCATGGACTCCAGAGCCGTGTTGGGATGGAGTGGGGCTGGGGAATCCCAGAGCTACTGTGGGTGGGCAGTGATGAGAGAGGAAGTGTAGCCTGGGTACCTAGCCAGTGAGAGTTGTATCTGTTAGCAGAACTGGCTCCCCAAGGCGCCTGGCCGAAGCTCCATTGCTTATAGCTGGTGCTGGCCCTAGCAAAGGTGCTGCATGACCCAGCTCATCAGGGTGGCCTGGGTCCGTGCTCCTCATCCTTTTCCAGGCTGGCATTCCCTGGGACGTGCAGGGCCGGTGTCCAGCCTCCTTCCAAGGGTGGAGTTAGGGTTTACAGAACAACGGAGAAGGGATGGTTGTTCTGACCCTAAAAATGGCTGCAAGAGTCTGGCACAAACTTTAACCCGATGTTTTATTTGACTGGAGGCTGGTCCGGAGTGAGTCTGTTACTGGGAACTTGCTCCACACTTCAAAAAGGATGGTAACAAATCGGAAAAGGTTCTGAAAAGAGCTGCAAGGATGATTTGAGGTCCGGAAACCTGCCTGACAGTGAGAGGTTAAAGCAGCTCAATCTATGTGGTTAACCAGGAGGAGGTTAGTGTGTGACATGACCCCAATGTATAAATCCCCACGAGGGGAGCAGCTTTCTGAGACTAGAGAGCTCCTTAACCAGCAGACACAGAAGGAGACCCAGTGGCTGGAAGCTGAAGCTGGGTAAATTCAGACTACAAATAAGGGAGGTGTTTTACCAGAGGAGGTGATTAACCTTTGAAACAACTCACCTCAGGATGGGGTAGATTCTCTTTAAACCAAGGTGGGCGTCTCTTTCAGAGAGATCTGCTCTAGCATAACCAGGGTGATGCCGGAATCCCTGGGGGAGATGCTCTGGCCTGTGCTTTGATCGTAATGGTCCCTCCTGGCCTTCGCGTCTGGGAAAGGGGCAGCCCCAGATATTGTAGTGGAAAGCTAGGAGTGTGTGCAGCAGAGGGGTCTTACTGCAAGCCCTTTGCTCCTGTGCTGTTTGTGACAGTCTGATCCTGGCCTAGAGGAACCCAGGCCTCCCCCCGGCAGATGCAAAGCTCCGGCTGTAAGATAGCAGGCCGGGCTCTGAACGGCAGCTCCTGGCTGGGCACAGCTCTGACAGCGCCTCATGTACAGAACAGTCTCATTACCATCTCTGTGTGCTGGGGCCGGATTCTCATTTCACTCCCGCCTGGACAGACGGGGCATCGCCACTGCAGTCAGTGCAGGAGGCTGGTTTCGCAGAGGCGGAGCAGAGATGGAGCTCTGGCCTTTGCTATTGAACTTGACGATACATTGGTCCCGGGGCCTGGCGCCAGTAGCCCCTGCGTTGTGTGAAGTCAGGCGGGTGAAATGCGATTTGTCAGCTGGATGCTGGGCTGCATCTGCTCCAAGTTCCCCCGCAGACGCATGGGTTCATAGGACAGTTTTACTTCAAAATAAAACCCTCAGCCGTTTCTCTCTGCAATCCCCCTGTGCCCCACGAGCCCTCAGGGGAGGGAGGTGCCTGCCAGGCGCGGAGGCTGCCAGCCCATGTCCTGTAAGCCAGCTCTGGGTTAATCCTGCCAGTCAGGCTTGACAAGGAGGAGCCCGGCTTTCAGTGCCCGACCCCAGGGCACGAGCGCAGTGCTGTGGGAAGACACCTTGCTTGTCTCTTTTCAACCACGTTTCATTTTCTTTCCAGTTATGGAAGCAAAAGGCCTGATGGGAAAAGAGTACCGGACATGCAACTCCTATGTGAAGGTGAGTTCTCTTGCCACCCCAGGGGCTTTGGATTCAGCTGGGGATGAGGATGTGACCACTTTGTACCCCTTCTGGTTTTGGGGTGAATTCCCCCAGGCATGCAGCTGGGCTTCCATCTTCTCCCTGTCCCTTTCTGGGGCTCCACAGAAATCGGGGCAGAACCTTTGCTTTGTGCCTGCCCATTTGTCCTGAACTCCCCCGCCCCCATCCCTGCATTTACCGGCTGCTGAGTAACTTTCCTGCACCAGGTGAACTAAGACAGCCAGTCTCCTGTCAGGTGCTGGGTGCATCACTGTGCTAACTGCACCTGGGGGCTGTGGCACCCTCCGATGGAGAATTTGTTGTCACAGAATCATTACTGGCAGAGAACGTGGGAGCCAGAGGAGAAAGCTCTGTCTGTGGCTGTCAGCGCTCATCATTTTTGGCAAGCCAATGCCATCATGCAGACTAAGGAAAGGGATGAGACTGAATGATCAGCATTAGACAAACTCCAGTAACTGCACTGTAGGGCACAGGGCTGGGCAGCCCTGGTTAAATTGACAGCACCTTAGTAGGTCATTTCCATCTCTACTTCCTCTGATTCTAACGCGGGTCTCAGAGGAAGGTAGGTGTGTGTGTGTGTGTGTGTGTGTGTGTGTGTGTGTGCATGTGTGCGTGTGCGTGTCTTTACTTGGCCAAAGACTGGCTAGGAATATTTGTGCAAATCAAACACTGGGTTCTCTGAATTGCTAAGGAAGAATTTCTCCTTTTCACGTTGCCCAAAGGAGCTTTGTAATGTTGTGGCTAGACCTGGTCAATGCAAAGAGACCTAAAAACCTGGCTAGCACAAACTAGATCTTTGAGACTTAGCCATCCATAAAGCTGACTGGTGGGTCTTCTGATCTTAGCACTAGACAATTGCTGGGTTTGTGGCGAGTTTGTGTTTGCTTAAAGATGGCTAATGTGCTGTTTGTTTCTCTACATCAAGATGTCTGTAGTACCAGATACTGATCGGAAAGGCAGGCAAAAAACCAAGACTGTTCCAGACAGCAAAAATCCCATCTTCCACGAGCACTTTCTCTTGTGAGTATGCAGGGTCCGAGGTGGCACCATCCTGTCCTTCCATTGGTTTGTGTTCCAAACGGGGCATGTGTTCGGAATGGAGCTGGAAGAGAATCTGAACTGTGGCAAATGCTGCCTTAGCCTCTCGTGGCCAAGATCCCCTGTTTACTCACTGTTAGCTTCAATAAACATGCCTCATGCATGATGAGGTTTGGTACTGAAATGAGGAGTGACAGATATTATTTTGCTGTTTCTTGTAGCTGAAATGCCTTGAACTTTTGAACAGAGCTTTGCTGAAGCTCACAAAGCTGTGACTACACAGCATGACAGCAATACTCCTGCACATTTGGAGTTTCTTATTTGGTAGCTTCTATGCGTCCGTATGGAGTCGGGGAAAACATTCCATTTCCTAGACCCTGAGCCTGCCACGATCTGGTGGATCAGTATGAACAAGGAAGGTAAAAGGATTTCCCAAAGCTCTAGCATGTCCTTGCATGGGAAGGGGGCTGGCGGCTTGCCGTGTTTTGGTGGAGTTCATTATTTCTAGCAGACCTGCCTCTCTCGGATCTCTGTCCTCATGAAATATTCAGTCCGGCATAGAGTGATTATTTAGGAGTATGAATGATAGTGTTTTTGTGGTGTTCTTCCTTTGATGTTTAACATGTGTCTGTCCTTAAACAACCTGAGCTGTGTTTCAGCACCTGCCCAGGAGAGTTCACCTCCCCTTGCAACAGCTCGTCAATAACAAATGTCTCCTTTGTTTAACCATGCAAGCAGCATGGCCCTCAAGTTCTTCGTTATGTAATAAACATGGATTGGAGCTTGCAGCCTCATTAATTTTAGTAAATTAGTGCACAGTAGCTCGTTTGAGAAGACTGCCATTGATGGCAATTGCTGGGAAGCTCCATGTAGGAATCAGTGGGGCCGGGAATGGGGGATGCGGCATAGCTGTAGCATTAAAGGAACACTAACCCCACCCCTCGGTGTGTGTTCCCGGTGGCGATGGGTGCTCTCATCCTGTCCTTTCTGGCTTCTGTTACAGCCCCGTTCAAGAAGAAGATGAACAAAAGCGTCTTCTGGTTACAGTCTGGAACCAAGAAAGAAACTCCAGGTAAAGCCACTGCCAGGACGGGGCTGGGGTTGGAATGCTGCTGAGCCGTCTCTTTAACAAGGTTTGGAAAGGCTGGAGAAGGGATAAAAATACCATTTGCTCTGGCCACTTCCATGTGAGTTCCTTCGGAGCCTCAGTCTCGTGGCCCAGCCTGGCGTCAGTGGGTGTCACGTAGGTAGAGCGAGAGCATGATGTGGCTGCTTTGTGAGGGGTGGGTGAAGCACGTCTGCACACCGGCCTCAGCACACGCCTCTGCTCAGGGTGCTCTGTGTTGCACGCTGGGCCCCGGGTGCTGCTGGGAAGCTGTGGATGCTGGCCGTGACCTCGGGCGGTCTGGGGCTGCTGCTGGGCTGACATTGAAGCAAACTGCAGTTCCAAGAGCAGACGCTGCTGGGGCCGGGGCAGCATTTTGCACAGGCTTGTAGGTAATGTTGCTGAGAGGTCAGTTAGCCCAGGGGAAGCGTGCACAGCGTCTGCTCACACCGATGCCTGGTGGTAGCCCAGGAATGGCTCGGTGCCCACCCTGGATGCTGCGTGCACCTTCACATGCATGGCACATGGGCAGCCTGTTTTGAGTTGTGCTGGCCATGGGTGCAACCAGTCCAGATATTCAGCATGCTACATCCAGCTCCGAGGCCACTGAGTAGCATCCCCCTCCAGAGTCATGTTGGGTGATGTTGGCAAAAAGGGCAGGATCAGACATCACATTGGGGGCAGCCAATGCTGGAGCCCACGCTAATGCCATGCTGAGTTAGGTGCATGCACATTCTGCCCAGATGCAAACATGGTGCAGCCCTCCAAGTATCCGAGAAACTAAAGAAGGAAAAGTCCTGGTGGATCATTTACGCTCCGTCTCAGGTCCCTGCATGGCAGCTGTCAGCAAATGCCAGTGTTGTAAAGGGCTGGGAGAGCTTTGGTCTCCGAGCAAATCCATGTAGTGCCCAAGCCAGTATGCCAGGCGGGCTCTCCAGGGCCCCCCTGCTGTGCAGGGACAGATACCCAGGCATGCAGAGCTGCCTCTGTCTCAACAGCAAATGTCCAGCAGGTGTCAAGCAGCAACACTGGCATGCCGGTGCAGCCTGGCTCCAGAGGATCATTAGCTTTTTTAACTACCCTCCAAGCCCCTGCCCCTCTGTGCCAGTCTCATGGCAGAGACATGGCTGTCTGGGGTGGGAATCCAGCCACGACCATCCTTGGAGTGACACTGCGAGCGGAGTGGAGCAAACACAGGAGGGGCTGGACCGAAGTGCAAGGTGACTTGGCGAGATCAGCGCAGTGGGGGCTCCTGCTGCCTGCAAAGCCCTGCCCTCAGGGAGAGGACAGAAAGCCCAAAGGTGCATGTGTGGGGGAGAGGAGGTGTGTAGCTCTGTGTCTCCTTAGCCCTGTGCTAACATCACTCCTGCAGGAGCCAGGCCCTCCTGGCGGAAGGAAGAGGCGGGAGCCATGCTGGTGGGGAAGCTGCCCCGGGTCTCTGGGGTAAGGAGGGTTTAAGGGGAGACGCTAACCCTGCTCTCTGATTCCTTCTCCAGACAGAGCCAGCTAATCGGCTGTATGAGCTTTGGCGTGAAGTCGCTCCTGACCCCAGACAAGGTACAGTCCCTTGTGGGCGCACACTGAGTTTGGGCCCTTCCTATGCGCCATGTGGGAGGAGGCGATGTCCTCCCGTCCGAGGCACAGTGCCCTTGGCAGAGCCTCCTGGGTGAAGCGCCCTGCGACTGGGAGTGAGGGCGCCAGGGCCTCTGCGGGAGGCTGGCAGGAGAGCGGATTGGAAGTGACAGCTGGGGGTTGTTTTCCAGTGGAGAGAGCATTTCCGACAGTGTGATGAGCACATACCCAGCTCTGCGGTGGGCGGAGGAAGCTGCTCTCTTTGGTCTGACAACGGCCTCCCTGCCCTGCAGGCGCCTCCTTGCCCTCTCGACTGAGGAGAGCGCAGTGAGGCTGCTGAGGTGGGGAGCCGGAGGGCCAGGGGAGTGAAGGAGTCGTGGTGACTCTCTCGGCCAGTGGCACCTGCTCACCTTGGAGGCACAGGCTGACAGGGACCCCATCTGCTGCTTGCTGGCACTGAGGACAGGCTGCTCTGGCCAAACAGCAGTCCAGGTTCAAGGCTGCACAAGGCCGCCCGGTCTTGTTTGTGTGAGGCCCATCTGGGTGGCCCAGCAGCCCCGGGGTGGAGTGCCAGGCTGCGCACTGGCCTGTGGCTGGTGAATGCAAGTGCTGCCCATCCTGCCCAGAATGGGGCTGTGTGCAGCACCCAGGGAGAAGAGGCACTCTGCTTTCCCTTCCTGCAGCACCCCAAACCCTGCTGGGGCCGGCCTGGGGCATCCTGCTGCCTTTGTGCTTCCTGGGGGCCAAATTTCCCATCTGATCTGCAGATCAGTGACTGTGTTCACCCTGGCCAGAGCTGCCCCAGCACTGGTGATGGTGGGGAGAGCAATGCCTGTCTCCCCACCTCCTGGAGGCCCCGGGAACGCTATGACCTGCCCCCAGGGGGATGGGCCCTTCCCTCTCCCAGCTGGCGAAAGCTCCTTCCCAGCCCTTTGCTGAGACTACCATCTTTGAGCCTTGTCCCAGGCACGCGGGAAGGGCCAGCCCATCTCACGGGACCTGCAGTCCCCTGACCCTTCTGCCCACACCCAAGCATGATTCAGCCCAGGGGGTAGCCCAGAGATGGTGCTGGCCTTGGCGGTTGACCACCGGTTCTGGGCAATGGACACAGCTCAGTGGACAAGGCTGGTCGTTCCCGACGTCACCAGCCTGGGGCCCTGCGGACTGTGTGTAGCTGTCGACCGGCCGGGGGAGCGGATGGGGGGAGCTGTATTTCAGTGGCTCCCAGCCCCCTCATGCCGGGCCCAGCGGGTGCCCTCCTGCTGCCCTCCAGGCTGCTGTGCCATCAGCATGCAGAGAACACTGCTCTGCTGGGACTGGCCCAGGCAGGTGTGGGGCGAGAGGTGCTGGGTGCTAACTGTGGCAGCCTGTTTGCTCAGTGGCATAGCCATTCCAGAGCACACTGCCCCTGCTCTGTAGCCCTGTCTGAGGCCAGGTGGCCAGTCGAGGCACTGATTTAACCCTCTGAAGCCCAACACAATAACACTTCCACGGTCCGTTCCGCCCCTCGGTCCCCAAGGGCTCTGCAGAGGTCAGGGTGTTGAACTCACCACCCATGGAGCCCCATTTTATAGGTGAGGAAAGTGCGGGTCAGAATTCTATTTCCAGGAGTGGCACCGGTTTGGGGTGCCCAGCTGTGGGGAGCAGGCAAGGCGAGGGGCAGAGTGAATGGGGCACCGTGGCTAGTCAGAGGGGGGCAGGTGGGCATCAGGTGTGTGAGTGCGCTGGCTCCAGTGAGGTGCTTACAGCAGGGCATGGCAGATGGGGGGAGCCGTCCGAGCCCCAGCTGAGGGTGCAGCATTGTGCAGGCTGGGGAGGAGAGGGAGCTGGTGTCCCAGGCTGGGAGAGCCCCGTCTCTAGCTAACAGTTAATGTGAAAAGAAGAGTATTGGAACAAGGGGATAAACCCTCCTGTTTCCGTGTTTAACCCAATCCCTAACTGGAGACCAGGCTGCCACCTTCCTGGGGGTAGTTTATCTCCCATCTGCTGCTGTGGGACAGGACACTGGGCTAGACTGGCCTCGGATCTGAGCCATTCTGTGTTCGAACCCCCATCTTGTCCCCGTCGGCTCCCCGCCCCTGGCTGTCCTTGCTGTTAGCTGCTCCGTATCCCTCGGGCTAACTCACGGCCAGCATGGCAGCATCAGGGCGTGGTACTGCAGAGTTACTGTGGCACTAACCCACCCTTCCCAGCCAGTGATGCCCATGTTGGCTCTGGCCCCTGCTGGTGGAAATGCACTCACACTAATCCTGTTACCAGACGGGGAAGGGTGGGGGAGGCGCCTGCTGCCCCTCTCTCAGCTGCTGCAGTTTGTCATTCAGTGTCTTGGAGAAAATACATGAATGGCTGGGCCATTGCCTGCCTTTCCCATCATTGCCCACTCCATCCACGCCTGGGGGGCAGGGGGATTCTGTCAACCCAGTGCTGCCACCTGTTGGCACTTCCATGGTAATACAGCTTTAGAATCTACTGAGTTTTTCTTCCTCAAATAAACCAGCAATTCTGCTAAAGTAAATGGCTTCCACAGATCCCCACTTCTGGGTCCTGAGAAACACAGGCAACCCAACAGCTGCCAGACCGGATCAGGCTGAGATCCATCCAGCCCAATGTCCTGTCACTGACAGTGGCCAGCACCAGCAAGGTGCAAGAATCCTGCAACAGGTGGCTCTGGAATAACCTGCCCACAATAGGGTGACCAGATGTTCCATTTTGAAAGGGACAGTCCTGTTTTTTGGGACTTTTTCTTATGTAGGCACCTATTACCCCCCACTCCCTGTCCCGTTTTCTCACAGTTGCTATCTGGTAACCCTACTCCACAAGGAAACGTCATCTGAACCCCCTCAGTTAGAGATTGATTCCTGGTGTCGGTGTCCAGGGCTGGGGTTCACACTTCAGACAGGGCATTGAGAAATCCAAAGGGTTCAGAAAAGATCTACAAGAAGGTCTGAAGGTCTGGAAACCTGCTTTGTAGCAAGAGACCAAACAAGCTCAGTCTATTAAGAGAAGGTTCAGAGGTGACTTGATCATAGTCTTTAAGTCCCTGTACAGGGAGAAGATTTGAGAGCAGATTTAATCTAGATCTAATGAAGCAGACAAAGGCAGAACAAGATCCAGTGGCTGGAAGCTGAAGCCAGACGAATTCACACTAGAAGTGAGGTGTACATTTTGAACATAGAGCGTAATTCATCACTGGAAAAACCTTGCCAAGGGATGTGATGGATTGTCTGTCTCTTGACATCTTTAAACTAAGACTGGGCATGTCTGTGTGCTCTAGCTCAACTGGAATGGATGAGTTTGATGCCGGAATCCCTGGGCGAGATTCTCTGGCCTGTGCTATGCAAGAGATCAGACTGGATGATCATGTCTGGTCTTAACATCTGCGAATCTATTCATCTGCTTGCTCATGCCTTGAAACAGGGGGCTCATGTCCCCGCTCAAACTCGTGTTTTAGTCTTTAGTAGTTCCTATTGTGACTCTGGTACTTTGATCCATATCAAAGTCCAATCTTTTTTTGAATCTTGCTAAGCTGTGGCAGTGAGTTCCGTAGGCTAATTGTGACTTCCAGACTGTATGGGTAGAGGCAGGTGTGCACACACAAACACACACACATCCTGGAGTCACAGAGGCAGGATCTGGAGGCTGATGCTGTGAACACACAGCTGTCCCTTATGTGGCTGGCCTGAGCTGTCTTCGGGGTTCTGCATGGTAATTCAGGAAACTCTCAGTGATAGTTTCCTGCCCACTGATTTGAGACTCTTCTTTAACCAAACCCTTTGTCCCTGGTGTAGGGAATGCCCTGCCCAGCCTGGCCCGCAGCATGCGTGGGACGTGGTGAAAGAGCCCTGGTGTTGCCCGCCCTGCACTGCTGAAGGCACTCACTGTGGATTGCAGATGACCCCTCTGGTGGTAGGGTTAGAATACTGGCCACCTGCCGAGACTGCCAGCATGGGGCACACGCAATATAGACACATTTCAGTGAGGGACCGGGCCGGAACAACTGGTTAATTTCACGTAGGTCACGCCGCAGCACGTTTGGTCAGCACTTCCTGGTGACCTAGGCCTGCTCCTCATTCTGATATGGTCCTTTTGCATAATGAGGCTAGAAACCCACCTGGGAATACCACTTTCTTACCAGACACCCTGGATGACAGTGAAGTGGCAAAATACAGTGGCTCCAGGCCCTACCCCCATAGCAGCCCCTGGTGCTGGCAGCGTGGCTAGGGGACGGGGGTGTGTGGCCAGCTGCTGGAATGGCCCTTTGGGGCTATGGGCAGTGGGGGAGCCCTGCCCCCGGGAGGGAGGCCAGCAAGTGAGACCCTATCTCGGGCTTGCTGTGAGAGTGCCAGTGTGTGCTGGAGCTGAGGCCTTTCCATGCTAATGGCTGGAGCCCCGTGAAGGGCTGAGCACAAGCATTGCTTCTGTTCCCAAGTCAGAGCAGGTGGAAAATCTGCTCTTCCTCTCACCAAACTGCACCTGGGTCCAGCAACCGGCAGGCCGGGGAGGAACAGAGCGGGAAATAGCCCCAGTGAGGAGAGGGATCTGAGCAAGGGATGTGGGGCCCTGACACCCCCACCACAGCTGCCCCCTGTACCCTCAGCTCCCAGTCTCTTGTCCTGCCCTGCACCTGCTGCATCCTGCTCCTCCTTCGCTCTAAGGAATCCCTCCTCCCGTCTCACACGCTCTCCTTCCACGGTGCTCCCGCTGCCTGGCACTCCCTGTGCCAGTGAGCCAGGCAGGCGCCCTCCCTTCTGCTGCAGTGCCCGGCTCACATGTCAGCCCCTGAGCTCAGCCAGTGCAGACACAGGGCACCTGGGCCCTGTCTGCTCTAGGACACGCCCCTGTGCGCGGGCTGGCTCAGCCTCGGGAATCAATGGTGCTGCTGGTGGCCCCTCTGGCAGCCCTGTGGACGCAGGGCCCAGGGCCACCAACTTTGCTGACACTGGGCTGGGGCGTGCTGGGTGCAGAGGGTGCCTTTCATACCTGCTCTGTGTTCTCCCCGGGCAGGCACTGCTCAGCCAGCGCCCTGCACTCACAGCCCTTGCACAGACACGCTTTCCTGCTGAGCATGAGCTCTGCGGCTTTCACTCCCTCTCTCTGCCCTAGGAGGTCAGCGGCTGGTACTATCTCCTTGGTGAGGACCTGGGCAGGACCAAGCACCTGAAGGTGGCCACGCGGCGTCTGAAGCAGAGCAGAGGTGGGTCCCCCTCAGCAGCATGCTCTGGGGAGTGGTACGTCCCAAGAGCTAGCAGAGCATGGGAGCGGCTTGGGTTCTCATGCCCTGCCTCCTCCCCCCCGGCAGTGTGTGGAGCCAGGCTCAGTGGAGAGCAGATTAGCAGAGGCCCCCATCCTATAGCTGGCCTCCAGGTATCCTGTGCGGGCCTTCAGGGGAGACTCCCTGCCTGTGCTGCATGGAGCTGGGCCTGGCTGGAAGCCTCCATTTGCCGCGCTCCAGGCAGTACTGCCAGTTCAGTGTGACTCAGCCCAATGCCCAGTGGCTCCCAGACATCCTGGCTTGCGGCAGTAAACCACCCCCTCACCCCAGGTGCCTGCTCCTCTCCCCAGCTTAGCCTACGGCAGCCCCAGGGCCGCAGCCTTTTCCTCTTGCACCTGCTGCCCCGCTGGCTCTCCCTTGTGTGGCAGAAAGGGAACCGTTCCCAGCTGTCGTCCTGTGAGCTGTGCTCCTGAGGCTCCAGTGACGCCCGGGGCTGCGAGCCCACAGCAGGCCAGACCCCTGGCTCTGAGGCGACTCTGTCATCAACACTCAGGCCACTTTGTAGGGGTGCAGAATACTCCACCGTGCACTGGGCTCGCCCTGTCAGCCTCGGCCTTGGCAGCTGCTGGGCGTGTCACTCGGGCAGGGCCTTCTCTGGTAGCTGAAGGAGAGTTGTTAGCGTTCACTCTGGGAGTGTCTGTGCTCGCTCTGCCACTCCCCTAACACCCCCCGCGGGGGCCCTGGCAGAGGGCAGGAATCCTGCGTGGCATGGCAGGACGTCTGGAGCCAAGGCGCGGATGGAGGACATGAAACACCGGGACATTTGAGGTGCTCTGAAAGGGCTCTGGGTGTTAGGGCATCATGTGAGAAACTGGGACTGTAAACACAGGATGGATGGACAGCGGAGCCATCACATCCCCCAGGCCATCCTGCAGGGCTTCATGCAGCTCCATCGCCTGGTCCCTTAGGCCGCTCACTGCTGGGATGGGTTTCCTGCTCCCTAGTAGATGACATATCACTGGATGTTGGTGACTCGGACCCCAAACTGCCTTGGAGCCAGCCCAGTGTGTGAGCTTTGCTGGCCCAAAATCCAGCATTGGCCTTCTCCAGGAAGGGGTAAAAGGGAAACTTCTGCCCCTCCGAAGGCCACGCAGGGTGCAGCTACACTGCAAGCTTGGGATGCGATGTCCTGCTGGAGGAGACAGACACACAGTAGCTCTCACTGAGCTAGTGTGTGAGAAGTGGGACAGGCTACCTGCCCTGAGTGTGTGCTTAATGGGGCTCCTGGGACAGCCCAGGCTCTCCTCACTGCACAATAACCTCACAGCCCCCGTACTGCATTAGGGTGCCAGCCCTGGCTCTGAGCCCAGCTCCTTCTGAACCTCCCTGCTAGGCTGCCTGCAGGGACAGAGTGTGAGCACCAACCTCAGAGCAGACTGGTAGGAACCAGGCCACAAACCCCACCCTGGCTGTGAGTTCCAACCAATTATCATGTGTAATCTCCTCAGCCTAAATGTAGGGTCACAGACAGTCCCCTTGGGTACCCTGATCTGTCGCACCAGCCAGGGGATCCTGCCTTTGTGATGGATGGTCCCTTACCCCACCAATCACAGCAATATTCAGGTTACTCCCAGACCCAAAGGACCAGTCACTTACCCCAGGTCAATTGCACCTTAGATCTCACACCAAAGACAAGGCTTGTAGCCAATCCTGCAATAAACGACATACAGATTTATGACTAGGAAAAGGAAAGAAGAGAGCTATTTATGAGGTTAAAGCAGGTAAATGTACATGTACAAATGAGTTACCACCTGCAGTTTCAAAAGGTAATGGAAGTTTTTATAATGAACAAGCTGTAGATGACCTTTAGGGCTAGCCCAGGCTAAGCAGAGTCCAAGCAGCACAGAGATAATCAGTTCCTTCTGTTTATCCCCCTCCTCCCATGTGCTCTGAGTGGCAGACGCAGCTGATGGGAGGAACTCACTTGCATGACTCATCTTCGCGGGGGGGGGGGGGGGGGCAGAGCAGGACAACTAAAGAGTCTTTTGTCCTCTTTAATGTCCCTGCAATAGTCTGTCTGGGGTTAATAGACCTTGCCCCCCTGTTGGGCAGGACGTAAGCCCTTCTGCTGGAGATGGGCCCTTCACACTAGTTAATGTCTCTCCCCATCCGGTGATTTACACAGTCACAGGCTCACAATACAAATGCTCACATATTACCTTACACTGGGAAATACAGAAGCTATAAGTGAGATTAATGCCGGCATCAGCTCACAAGCATTCAGTAAAGTCTAAACACTGAGCACATTCGTATAATCCTAATACCGGTTTTAACAGTCCTAACACTGATTCCAGCTAGGTGTTTGTCAGTGTTTGGTTGAGGCATGGGGACCATGACATGAGCTGGCACCTGCTCTGCCAGCATCACACTCCTGAGTTCCCCCGGCCGCCTGGCTCCTGTAGCAATGCTGGGCTGTTGCGGAGGCAGAAGAACGCCCGAGGGAGGCAGCGCCCGGCTTGCTGTAGCTAAGGACAGCGCTACGGTTGCACTCACAGCAGGGACTACATCCATAGGGAGTGTGACAGGCTGCATCTCGCTGCACTTGCTCTGAGGGGCAGATTGGAATATTCTGGAAAGTCCCAGGTAAATCTGTTTAGGAGAGGGAGTAGCCCTCCTTTGTGCTGTCCCCTGAGGAGCCCTGGAGACACAGGTGGCCTGTCCGTGAGCCAGCAAGCCTGCAGGAGCTCTGCGCAATCTGAGGAGCAGGCTGGGGGTGTGCGGGGGCTGTTTGGCATGGCTCCTCCTAGCTGCTTCCCTTCCTACCAAGGGCGGCCGGTGCACGTCACTAGGTGCTGGGGTGGTTCAGCGGGTACTGGGGAGCACCGTCTCTCCTCGGCTGGGCCCAGGGGGCATGCAGGAGGGGAGTTCCTCTCCTGCACACTTTTCAGGGGCTAAGCCAGGGGAGAATCCAGCTCCTCTTCCTCCTCTCCATCTGGGACAACCCCACCCCCACCAGCTCCTCCTCCCCTACTGGGGGGAAGGCAGAGGAGCTGTTCACACCTCGATTGCTCCCAGCTCTCCTGTGGAAAGTCCAGCCCTCCAGCCCAGGGCCACTTCATGGGAGGAGGAGGGGCCTGGCAGCCATATTGACTTTACACAGCCTGGATTTCCCGACCCAGCGACACTCAGACATTGTGGTAATGGGGCCATGTTCGCACGTACACAGGAGAGATCCTGGGTGACCCATAGAGAGGGGGCATCCACCCCCCTCCTTGGGGACACAAGCCCGTCTTTCCTCCCTGTCTCTCCCACTCGCTGTGCCTGTCACCACACGCTGCTGCTGCTGCTGCATCTCACGAGCTCTCCAGCTTTGGGCTAGCAGCCGCCAGCCTTGGGACCACTGAAATCAATGGGTTCCCTCCTGTTGCTCCAGTGAGCTTTGGATCAGGCCCTTGCTGAATTCTCCATCCTGCCTGGCTCTAACCTGCGGGGCTGCCTGGTGTCTGCAGGAGTGGAGCAGGCCTGGGACGGGAGATGTGCTGCGGGGGTGTGTGCACAGAGTGGGGTCTGGGCTGGGACACCGTCGCAGGGCAATGTGTGTGAAGGGCACGTGGCAGCTGCCCATCATGCCACCCTCAGTGGATCAACAGGGAATTCCTGGGTCTTCGAATAACCACAGGAAATGCTGCCATGTTCCAGTCTGGAGCTGGTGCCCCCATAGAATTCATGGTGCTTGGCCTTTGTGCAGAGGGAGAAGACGCTGTTAAAGGCAGAAGCGTCTGCGTGGTGCCTAAGAGCAGCCTATGTGACATGCTCTTTCTGTTGCCTTCTAGAGCCACCACTGGCGAGCCAGCGGGCTGAACTGGGAAACCAGGAGGCTGAGAACATGGAGCAGCTCAAGGTAGGTGTGCCAGGGCCAGCGCTGCCCTGACAAGCTGAGCCCAATGCCTGCAGCACAGCACTAGTGACCCAGGGAGCAGGGGCGGGAGAGGCTGTTCCCAGGTCAGGAGCGGGGCAGGAGAAGATGCTCATCTGCACAGTAGCAGGGCTGAGTGAAAGGGCAGAGACCAGCAGGGAGGAGAGGAAAGTCTGGCGTTGCTGAGCAGGGGATTCAGAATGGGATCGTGAAATGAGTGGGCCTGTGATGATTTCTCACACACAGAGACGAGCCAGAATTCCATTTGCTATATACAACAAAGCACAATGGGCAAGTCTTCATGAGAGAGAGCGCAGTGTGTGTGGCTCCTCTGTGGCAGGTTGTGTCTGAACACAGCATGGTGGCTCCTTTTGCAGCCAGGAAGGGGGTCTCCTCTCTGTTTAGGCTCTGTCCACACTCCAGCATATAGGCTGATTTTGTAAGCAGTTAGTGACTCTAAACGCAATTGGTGTCTTCATGCAGCATGGTCTGTAGCCAGGACCCATGGCAGCTGCAGGCCTAGGGTCAGCACTCTGTTTTGTTGCTGTGTGAACTGGACCCCTGGCCATGTAACCAGGCTGCTTGGCCCCCCTCCCTCCATTCTCTATGTAGTAGGACATCCCAGAGTGCACTGTTACTGCTGCGGTATGTGTGTCTCCTGGGCACTCTGTCCCCTGCTGGGGTCTTATGGGATGGGGTCCAAATTTCCCAGGATGCACTGGTATGTACCTAGCTGGGTGGCGTGGCAGGTGTAGGTGCAAGGCAGAAAGACTCCAGCGTGGACTCAACGCCCCACCCCTTGTGACCAGGTCAGATGCAGGGCCGGCTCCAGGCACCAGGCAACCAAGCTGGTGCTTGGGGCGGCACCTGGAGGGGGGGCGGCGCGGCGCTCCGGCCGCCGGGGAGAGCGGGGCCACAGCCGGGCTCGCCGCCCTGCCCCTGGCGCTCTGGCCGCCGGGGGGAGAGCTGAGCCCCAGCCGGGGCTCCCCGCCCTCTCGCCGCCCTGCCCCCGGCGCCCTCCCCCCGGCCGCCGGGGGGAGAGCGGAGTCCCCGCCGGGGCTCGCCGCCCTCCCCCCGGGGCGGCCGGAGGCTTTTTTGCCTGGGGCGGCAAAAAAGCCAGAGCCGGCCCTGGTCAGATGGGAGAATTGCAGCTGGTTAGAGTGGCTGGAGCTGCAGTGTGGATTGGGCCATGAAGGTGAGATCTGTGGGAAACAGGCCATGAGCGACGTGCGCTCCATGGGGAAGCTACCTGACAATGTGGGGATGTGCCTGTGCTTCCCTGCACGCGTGCTATGGGGTGGTGCTGGAGAGCCCGGAGGCCATGGAGAGGCTTTGCTCTAGCTCGGGGAGAGGAGTGATTCATTCCAAAGACTTTCAAAGGAGCCAGAGCTGTGTGACTAGACCCGGAGTGGGCAAACTTTTTGGCCTGAGGGCCACATCTGGGTATGGAAATTGTACAGTGGGCCATGAATGCTCACGGAATTGGGGCTTGGGGTGTGGGAGGGGGTGAGGGCTCTGGCTGGGGGTGTGGGCTCTGTGGTGGGTCCAGAAATGAGGAGTTCAGTGTGTGGGAGAGGGCTCTGGGCTGGGGCAGGGGGTTGGGGTGCGGGCTGGGTGGGTGAGGGCTCTGTCTGGAGGTGTGGGCTCTTGGAGAGGGGCTGGGGATGAGGTTTGGGGTGCAGGAGGGTGCTCCGGGCTGGGACCAAGGGGCAGCATGGGGGTCAGGGCTGGGGCAGGGGGCTGGGGCGTGGGAGGGGATTGGGGCATGGGAAGGGGTCAGGGATGCAGGCTCCGGGCGGCGCTTACCTCAATCAGCAGCATGTCCCACCTAAAGCTCCTACGTGGAGGCATGGCCAGGCAGCTCTGCATACTGGCCCGTCCACGGGTGCCACCCCTGCAGCTCCCATTGGCTGTGGTTCCTGGCCAATGGGAGCTGCGGGGACGGCACTTCGGGCGGGGACAGCGTGCGGAGCCCCTTGGCTGCCCCTACATGTAGGAGCTGGAGGGGGGACGTGCCGCTTCCTCCGGGAGCTGCGCGGAGCAAGCCCCCGACTCCACTCCCTAGCAGGAGCTCGAGGGCCGCATTAAAATGTCTGAAGGGCCGGATGTGGACCCTGGGCCGTAGTTTGCCAGCCCTGGACTAGTCCGTGCTACGCTGCACTGAGAGGGCCCTTCCTGCGGACACCTGCTGATTTGTCTGAACATGCTGCGTTTTCACCCTACGTCTTTCCAGTGGATGTTACATTAAATCCTTTGCCATCTGAACGGGGTGCTTGAGACTGAGGCCTCTTGATTTATAGGAGGGGCAAGGATGGGAAACAGCAACACAAACACAGGGCCCACGTCGGAAACTGGGCCCAACCGGCCCTGTGATTGATCTGTGCCAAATTCGCCTCGCTGCTTCCCTCAGCTACATTCTCAGTTATTTGTTTTAAACCGTAGGTTGAGCTAGACAAACCAACCCAGTGCCCTTTCTCCCTCCCTTCCTCTCACATAGGCAGGGTTTAAATTCAGCCGGCGCTGGCCGGAGTGGAGCTCCCTCCAGTAAATATTTTCAACCCCCCTGGAGTTTTTCTAGCATGGTGGGGGGATGGGTGGCTCCGGGAAATGCCCTGTAAGAATGAACACTGTCACAGTCACCAATGACCTGAAAGATGGCGAACTGGGGGAGGCGGAATGGCGGCTTGTCAGTCAGCGTGGCCCCAGGCTAGCAGGGCTAGACACTGCCGAGCCAGTTTAGTTAGTGACTTCAAAGCAAGCCCTTTGTGTTTGTGCAGAGCTGTCCTCTGCTAGTTAAAATCCCTCTCACCCACTTGTGTTTGGATTTCTGTGGCAGCCACTAGGCCACGCTGCAGTGACAGTGACTCCGGGGCCTCGGTTTGGTTGGGGTTTGAAGCCTTGCCTCACTTCTGCCCCGTGGAGGAAGCTGAAAGGAGCTTTCTTCTTGCTTTGTTAAGCTGCATTCTACAGGGGTTCCTTGGGAGCTGCTGCTGCAGTGTGCAAAGAGGCCATGTCACACAATCCAGCTTTGCACTCTACGTCTGACTTGAGTCAGAGTTTTGCTGTGCCTTTAATTCTGAAATTAAACCATGGGTGCCACTGACCTCCAAGCTTTGGGTCGTACTTCCCCCCCGCCCCCTGTAAACACAAAGCAGTATTGTGCGTGTGTGTTCTGTGAAAACAAATTCTTCCTTGGTTTCCTAAAGCAGAATCACTTTTCCTCCCGTATCTTTAAACTAGCGTACGAGATCTTTTTACTGAAGTGAAGCTTGTGCAGCCGAGGCCTGTGAAATGCTGCTTACACATCCTCAAAGTGTTTGTGAGAACCTTGCAATAACAAAGTGCTCTGTGCTGCTGAAGAATGCAGCAGGAACAAAAGCCACATCAACAGAGAAGGGACTAGGGAATACTGAATAGTTGACAGGAATTTTAATATAAAACTCTCTCTCTTCCTTGTCACTTGGAGTTTTCAGGAAGCCCTCTGTCTTATCGGAAAGCGGCATACAGCACAGACAGGGGCTTGGGAGGTGAAAGGTGGCTTCCTGCCATTCTTCTCTAGCGCTGGGTTCCCATGGGCGGTCATGCCAGTTTCACTGTGGCTTGTTCCATGCTGTTGTGATACAAGGAGACCAGGATTCCTGCTCCTTTGAGGGATTTAATTTCTATGGGCTAGCGGCAAGTTTAGAGCCTGCAATCATGAATCGCTTCAATGGACTCTGCAAGGTGTGCTCAGAGCGGAGATACAGACAGGTCTGTGGAACCTAACCCTAATCCGAAGGCAAAGTGAATCCATCTGGGGGGTGCATGTCTGAGTTAGGCATATGTGCTTGTGTGTGTTCTCCCCCTGCTGCTCTGGCTGTGTGTGTCAGGTTATTTCCCGTGTATTGGTTTGTCAGGATTGTTTTGCAAATGCCATTATAGCAAAGATCGTGGAAATGCTCGGCAAGTCGGCGTCTGTGTATAAATGATCTCTGTCTGCGTACGGGCAGATCCGCAGAAGTGTGGATGGCCCCATGGTGGGAGCAAACATTCAGCTTGCACTGATGGCCTGAGTGTTAGTGCTCTAAGGACTTGGTGTGTCCCGGGGAAGTGCTAAGCTGAGCAGTAGTGTCCAATTTACCATTCATTAGTGGAGCGGAGGGCACTGCAGATCCTTCCTTGTGTTTATCAGGAATGCATTAGGGAGACAAGCTAGTTCCATTTGACACTGATGGCTGCTAGGAAAGAGTCTTGCTGAGCGTTAGAAAGGAAAGTTCCAAGTTCTGTCTGACCGGGTTTGTCCGTGGCTCTGTCTGTCGTAGGGTATTTTTAATGGTGTAAATGTGGCTGTGTAGATGAAGCTGCCTTGGCTCCGCATTGCTCTGCAGTGGGGTCATGGCTCACTCCCAGGCAGACTGAGGGGTCCCAGCCCCTTTGTTGAGTTCTCCTGTTTACCCTAGTTCTGAGGCTAGGGCTGGAGTTGCGGGATCGTGTATATGTGGCACTGCACTCCCTTCAGTGCAATGAATTAGTTTCACAATCTAGATGCGAAGAAGACAGAGCAGAAGGAGTCTCCTTGGTTAAACATGCCCCATCCAGTCTCTGGGCTGGATAAAGGCAACTCCACTCCGCTCTGCATGTGGCGATGGTTTACTATGACTCATGTCTTGGGCCATGTTAATTCTTGGTCTCCCATAACCATTGAAATCTCCCCTGGCTCCTCCCCCCATACCAGGGGTGTAGAGATCTGATAACTCGGTGCCCTCTAGGGTACTGAAGTCACACGCCATCTCTGCACCCTCCTTCCCGGTCTGGGTTCACACTTGTCAGCCCTTGTCTGCAGGGGCAGACACACAGTGCTGGTGCCAGCTGGGAGCTGTAGCCCAGACCCCGAGCTCCAGTGTTTTGATCACTCCATCGTGAAGAACAGAGCTGGGTTCCTTTTTCAGTACTGAAGATCTGTGCTCAGCTGCTGGTTCTCTTGATGCTACATGAGCAGAATTGACTCCAGCTCACTCTCCAGTTGCTGGGCTGGCTCTTTGGGGCCAGCAGGAGAAATAACGTGTCTCTGCCAGGGAAACCTGCAGATCTGACATGCAGACTCACCCACAGGACAGAGTAAGACGGGGCTGTTTTCACCCTGTCCCTTTGTGTCACCATCCCCACGTTTGAATGGGCTAGAGGGGTCGCTGCTGAGTGACATAAAACCCCCATCTCCCTTCAGGGCTAGAGTGTTTCTGTCAGTGGTCAAGGGGCAGAGGTGGGGATGGGAAGCCAGCAGGGCCGACGAGAGGGAGGGAAAGCTGGTACAAATTACCGGGGCCTGGCGGTCCGGAAGGGAGCCCGGGGCCCGGCTTCCCCCCCCATCGTCGGCCCTGTTTAGCCGGTCTGCCCTTGCTGGGGGGCCCGAACCCGCTCTCGGCGGCCCTGGAAGCCAGTGCTGGGGTTCCGTGGTGTGGGGCTGTCCCAAAGAGCTGCTCATTGAGCTCTGGTCAGGACTCCCAGGCCTAGAAACCCCCTCTGCTGCTCCGGCCCTGTGTTCAAGCTACGTGTAGAGAAGAGTCAAAGCTGAAGAGCCACCACCAGCATTTTGGCCTGTTTGTGACCCACCAACCCACAAAGCTACCCAAGGCAGTGGGCTGGGCCTGCTCTTGATGATGCTAGTGGAAGGAAGTTTGGGTTCGGAAGCCCACTGCCATGCTAGGGAAATGCTGGGAAACAGGGCGTGTAGCTCGGCAACTGGCTACTATTGTGATTTCATCTTCACTTTATTAGAGCAAAAGATATAAAGAGGCTTGGATTAAATTCTCCTCAGTCAGGATCTGTGGTTGCTTATACTGGGTCTCTCAATGGGATCTGTCCTTCTGGCTGTTTATTTCCAGAAATCATATGGGTCAGTTGGTTCCCCCCACCCCCTCCTTTTCAGTAAACCAGGAAACGTGACAAACGTCTCTGAAATAACATTTATAGGAACTGTGACTCTGAGCTCCCGCTGAAAGCCAACCTTCAACAAATGAACTTCACTCTATTCATGAGAGCTCACAGCCTCCAGGGTCAGTGTGGCGAGGGGAGCCTTTAGCTTGTTTCCTGAATGCTGATGGAAAAAACCCATTAACACTCCATCCCTTCCCTTCAGAACTCCTTTCAGCCATATCCTACTTAATGAAAAAACTTTAGCAGAAAATAATGTGTGAGGCTTTCAGAGCGTCTTCATTCCAACTGCTTTACAAATATTAATATACTAAGTCTTGCCACAATCCTGCAAGGTAGGGAAATGTCATTATTTACATATTACATAAGGGAAACCGAGGCACAGAGAGTTGCTCAAAGAAGTCACACCGGAAGTCTTTGTCAAAGCCAGGAATAAAATCATATCTCCTGGTTCCCAATCTTCTCCCTTAACCCATCCTTCGTCCCACCTCTAGAAGACTCCATTGGTTATCAAGAGAAATTCAGGGGAGGGGAATTGTGTTATCTGCCTGTAGTACAGGATACACAGCTCACCTGCTCACAGATTGCAATGCCAAATTTTGGGTGATTTGTAAATGCCCTTTTAAATGCCCTTGGCTGCAGTCCAGCGTCAGATATGTCAGCTATGTCCTGGCCGTCTGCAGTAGTTTATGTCCTCCTACAAAGGGAGGACTTTTATACTGACAGATGTTTGTTGTCTCTGAACAGTCCATCCATCCCTCTCCAGTTGGCTATACAGATGCTGTTTTAATGTAGGCATAAAAGTCCTGGGGCTGTGCATGAGCAAAGTGCTGGGTTCTTACTGGTCACACACAGTAGCTGCCTTCCTGTGTAACAGGATGACTCTGATGTCTGTTTTCAGATTACAATCCCTCGAGGAAGGGATGGGTTTGGCTTCACAATCTGCTGCGACTCTCCAGTCCGTGTGCAGGCTGTAGACTCTGGTAAGAGAACAACCCATTTTTATACATCTTTTATTGTTGGACTGACTTGAAAGGGACTCCCCGGCCCCCTTTGCTTCCCTGTGTTTGATCCTGTCTTAGGAGCCTCTCAAACCTCACAGAATTTTCCTTTTCTCTTGAACAGTTTCTTTTAAATGTCCCCTTTTTGCCTCTAATGAGGCCAGAGGCCAGCGTGGCTGTCTCGTTACAGCACTGCCTTTGCTCAGCGCTGTAAGCTCAGCAAGAAGGTATTTCGGTGTGACTGCTGGGCACAGGGACTCCTGTGCCATTTCTTGGTGTTTGACACAAAAATGGTGGCAACTAGTTTTTACCTAATTGCTCATCGAGTGAGTAAAATTTGATTATGTAACGAGTACTCCACAGAGCCAGATATTGGGAGAGAGCATTAATGGCCTGGTCCAAAGCCCATGGAAATCACTAGGAGTCTTTCTATTGACTTCAGTTGGTTTTGTATCAGTCCCTTCATTTCCACAGCAAAAGTCAGGAAATGCAAATGTTAAGTGGAAAAGCCACCTTAACTCTGCCCCTTGTGCTTATGCCTCACAATACAGTGTTTAATGCTGGGATCACATACAGGTTCTCAAATAGGACAATATACCATTTGTGCTATGTGTGGCATTCTGCAGTGTTTTGGTGTCAGTCTAATATACGTACTAGTACTGGCTGAGAAAGGTTCCCCCCCCCACAAAACATTTAGACAAAAACTATTTTATATGTTTTTGTTGACATATTTCGACAGAATTTTTCATTTTTTTGCCCAAAAAAAAAATTCCCAACAAAACCATGAATACTGAAAATTGTTTGGTTTTCAACAACCGAAAAATTTCAGTGGGTCAGGCAAAATGTTTTGGCTTTACTGAAAATGTTTGCCAAACAGGCCAAAATATTTCAGGTTTCAGTTGTCCAAAACTGACAACATTTCACAAACCGTGGGATTTGAAAACGGACGCACTTTGGGTTCTTTTTATTTGCGGTCTTGTTGAGCGTTTATGGGACATGTTTTCGAGCTTTTCTCCAGAATCATCAGGGTGAGAAACGTATTTGTCTCTCCCACAAAACTGACCTGGAAATCTAGTTTGCTATCCTGTACCTGCCTCCTGAGGTAATGAGGAACCCAAATCTCATCTGCTTTTCCCGCATGTGAGTAACCGGGTCCTGGGTGTGTCTGAGGAGGTGAAAGCGCATCGCTGCCCCAATCCCAGGCCAGGCACAGCCTCCTGCAGCTGGGATGCAGCTTGCATCTCCTCCATGACACGGCTCAGCATGGGGGCTGCCGGAGCTGTGTAAATCCAGATCCCAAGGTGCGCTCCCTGCTGCATGCTGGTCTCTGCAGGGCTGATGTGGCGACTCCTTCCCTGGAGCACTGGGGGTTCAGAGGCACCCCAAATGAGTGCTCTGCCTGTGGTCCCCACCCCAGTGCAGGCATGAGATGGTGCCGAGGGCATGCTGCTGGCCCTCCCAGTCACAGGGGAGTTCCCCCCACGAGAAAAGCCATGCCTGTCCCGGCTGGGGAAAGCTGGCAAAAAACGATGACTGCTTCTGATGGAAATAATCAACACCTGCTTGTGAGAAGCTAACCTGCCAGCCCACCCTGAGGAATGCCATAGGCCACAAATAGTCAGGAAGCCAACACTTGATGCAGGAAACCACCTGTCACTGCCCCACCTGTAACTTCCCATTCCTTGGCAAAGTAATTGAGAAGCTAGCAGCAGCCATGCTTCAACAGCAAGTCTGCTGCATCCTGATGCTTTGTCATTGGGCGTCAGAGCAGGGACAGCCACACTGGCGCTAAAGAGAGGCTGTTCTCCTGGCCATGGATGTAGGCCCCATGTTGGTGCTTCCATGTCGTGACTTCCCTGCAGCTTTCAAACCAATTACCACAATGGTCCGGTCAGTGTGGGGTGCAAATCCAGACCAGTGCATGGTTGTGTCATCACCTGCCCTGTAACCCTGGCCACCTCACAGTGCTTTGTTGCTGTAGCTCTCAGACTGGGCTGCTCCCAGCTAGCCTGCCAGCGTGCAAGTCACCCCCTGAGTGTCCATGTGCTAGACGGCACTGGTTCAGCAGCTCTGACCCCGTCTACAGCCCCATAGCGACTTCCACCAGTCTTGGTTATATCTGGCAGGGAGACCCTCACGCACTCCGAGTCCCGAATTTGCCCAAAGCCACGTGCTCTGCAATGTCCAGCCCTGTCCTGGGCAGATCAGAGCTTTAATATGGCTTATTTGTTCCTCTAAAGAGACAAAACCACATCACAGCTTATGAACCTAACTGGGGCGAACACAGCGCTGAGTTGGTTTATAGTAAAATAAAATATTATTAACAATTGGCCATAGGTTAAGTGCTGCTAAGTAAAAGGAATAAAGTTAGAAAAGGTAACAAGCAAATACAAGTGAAAACATGCACCTAAGAGTCTAAAACGTCACCTAGCAAGATACAGGCTTTGTTCAAGATGGGTTCTCTCACCAGTCCTTCTTCTTCCCCGCCGTGGCTGACTTTCCCTCAGCCAGGACCTTCCACAACAGCACCAGGGGCTGGTTTCCCTTGTCTTCTTAGGTGAATGATCTTTATCTAAGCAGGTTTCTCACCTGCATTCAGTTCCAGAGACTTCAAGCCCCCCCTCCCCTCTTGGTTGAAGGACCCATCTTTCTCAGCTTGTAAGAGCTCTAGCCTCTAGTGATGGATGCCTTCTCTCCCCACTTATATCTCCCAAAGGTCAATGACCTCGTGCTGTTCTTCCCTTCCTGTGGACTTCCCATCCCCCGTATGATTTCGGTATAAATGAGGCTTCCATTGTTTGAGTCCATCATACTTGATTTACGTAGGAGACAAGTAGGTAGCTGTGTCTGGGCAGACTGGACAGCAGAATCTCAACGAGCATCCATAATTCCTCCTCTAGTATCAGTACAGACATTTTACCACCAGCGTGGTACAGGCATCCATAAAAGACCTTCCATGATGCACTAATATTGTATTCAATGAGTTGATTCAATTGCTTATTATTTGAGATTTAGACTCCCCTGTCTTTATAGCTCCGATAAAGTTTCTCTACCTTGCTGGGGCCTAGCTAGGCAGTCTCTTCCTCACACTTGTTAGCTGGAGAGCTTTGTTTAGCTGGTATGTCAGTACATTCTCATTGTCTTTCAAAGTACTTCGGAAGTAACTGCCCTGTGGAGAAAGCTCGGGGCTTTGTTTAGAGTGAGCTAACTCCGGTGTGACTGGCAAACACATTTTAAGAATTACAATTTCAGTTTATGTCCATAACTTTGCATCAGTTGCTTGCACCTGAATGACATGATGCTGTGAATACCCAGTGAGTGATGAGCTTTCCAGTGACAGGTCACATGACACCTCCTAGCTACAGATGATAACAGTAGTGAGTTGGGGTATACTAGACTGGTCAGGCCAGCTGATATCAGGGGGCCCCTTGACCTCTGCCCTCGAGCTGTTCATAATGTCCCAGGCTGCTAACCTGCCTATGTGACATAGTGGGACGGATGGCACTGCACTACAATGGCTCCACTTATTGCTCCAGCAGCCCCAGAGAGTGGAAATGGGCAACTGCTCCTCTTCTACAAACCCCCCCCCCCCACTTGCAGGTCCCCCAGAGTAGCCAAGGGCAGCTGGTACAAACTCCATCTGGGCAAGTCCAGAGTGGTGGGGGTTGGAAAGGAGAAGTGCTTAGACCTGGCTGTTGCCATCCTCCCCTTCCATTGAGGGCATCTGCCTCCATTCATCCAAGTAGCATGGAACGTGGGGCCCTGTTTGACTCAGCTGGAGCCTAAGAGAGAAGGTGGCGTCGGTGCATCGTCCACCTCCAGCTTGCTGGGAAGCTTCCCCACTTTGCTCAAAGGATGGCCTGGGCACGGTGGTCCATGTCTAGTTTCCCCCAGACCATGTCAATGGAGTTCACTGTACCCAGGGCTCAGTGTGGCTGCCATAGAGACAGTTGCTCATGCAGAATGCGGCATCCTGTTCCCTCCACGGGACCCAGCTGGGCTCGTCAGCATGAGTGTGGGTGGCCCCGTTGTTCTCTAGGAGTATAGCTGACAGCTGAGAATGTGTCGTAGGGACAGCCAAAGAGCCAGACTGAAGTGTCCAGAACTGTAAAACTGCTGGAGAGATTGTCTTCAAACATGGCTCGCGTTTTCTGTCTTACTCAACAGCATGGACAGTAAAGGAACCAAGTGTGTCTCTGGTGGAGCTGCATGGCAGTTGGTCAGATTTCCTGGGTAAACATGAGGTGTTTGGAACTTGTGTGTATATTCACATCAATGGCTGTGTCACTGGGGTACCAGGGGGGCCACACTGAGGTTACTTAATTAGGGCAAACTGCAAAGAATGGGGCAGAGAATCTCCAAAGCTGGTGGTCATTCCAATATTTAGATCCATCAAGCTAGCGTGGCAAACCCAGGACAAACAGCTACAAAGGGGGGTAGTAATCAGTCCCAGGGGGTTAAAAAGGCCTCTCCCAAGCCACTGAAGAGAGAAAACCATGGGGAAATAAGGTTCAGCTGGGCAAGGAGTTACTAGGGAACTAATTAGGTTCAGCTGGCTCCAACTGCTTGGGACCTTTTTAAACCCTCCCCTGCGTGGAAGGGGGGGTGGGAGAGAGAGTGAGAGAACCAGGGAAGCTGCCAGTAAGTTAGGAGCAGCAAGGCTCTGAACCCTTCCAGCAAGGAAGGCCGCACTCTGTCCCCAGAGGGGAAGACAAACAAACACAGGGAGCTGACTGAGGGAAGGAATAGCCAGCCCCTGTGCTACCTACAGGGTTTTGCTTTGCCCAAGCCTGGGTCTCCAAGGCTAAAAAGGACTGAGCCTGCCAAGGAGGAGGAGGTACTTTGCCACACTAGTCACAAAACAGCTTCTATAATACCTTACTGGTTACCCAGAAGTCAAAACACAGTTCCCTTAAAGCAACCCACCCTTGGACTTCCACCCAGACACCCAAGTCAAATATGATGATTACTGAAAATCTTATTCATCATTTAAGAAAGTTCTACCAATCCCAAAGGATTGGGCACATTACCCACCAGTTCAATGACTGTTTCCGATCTTACCGAAATACACGTGTACAGCCAATTCCTATTAACTAAATTAAAATTTATTAGAAAAGGAAAGAGAGAGAGTATTGGTTAAAAGATCACTATACATACAGATATGAATACAGTTTTATAGTAGAGATGGGAGATTTAGTGTTGCAAAGCGTTCTTGGATCAGACTTGAAGCAGTGATGAAATAAACTGCTGGCTTGTTAAGTTGGTTGGTCCCAAATGATTGGAAGGTCCTCAGTCCCTTGGATAGAATGCTCCCATTAATATAAGTCCATAGTCCAGAGGTTTGAGCAGGAAAGTGGCAAAATGGAGGTGTTTCCAGGGCCTTGTATAGCTTCTGCCATGTGGAGGGAAACCCATTGTTCTAGTTTGTGGAAAATTACAGATAACAAGATGGCGTTTGGAGTCACATGGGCAAGTCACATGTCCATGCCTGCTTTGCTTTGTCATAGCGGAGGCCATTACCTGTACTCTAGTTAGAACATTCCTATGAAAGTCTGTCAGTTGTGGATAGGCTTCTTCCGTGATTCACTGTGTTTGCTGACGAGCAATCAGCTGGAATACTTCATTCACAATGGGCTGGCCAGACTGGTTGCAAATTACCCTGTGGTGCTATCACAGGAGCAGACACGTTTGAGCTACAGATACAGAGTCAATATTCATAACTTCAGATACAAAAATGATACCTGCATACAAATAGGATAATGATATTCAGCAAACTGTAACTTTTCCATTGGTGCCTTACTTGACACAATTTGTACAAGATTTGTTGCAGTTCTATAACACTGGTAGCAACAATGATCTACATGGTTACCTTTAATCAATGTCACAGGCTGAAACTGTAGTGAGACTGTAGCATGTGCATTTTACAGGGACGTGGTGTTTGACTTAAACAGGCACCCATAAATGACACTAACCTCATGGTATGCTTCACCCCTTGTTGGCCCGTTGCACACACATCTCAGGCTAGCAATGACTGTCAGTTATTACAATCTGATGGCTTGGTGCTGTCTTCTATGTGTAGGAGATTGAAGGTCTCAGAAAAGTTCCTAGTGGACATATATTTTTATCACATCAACAAGCTCTGCCATTGACACTATTAACTCTCACTGGGAGTGGCTGGGGGGGGGGGGGACCCAGTAGGTCAGACACGATGCTCACAGGGTGAGAACAGAATCTGGGCAGTAAGGAGGAATGGGGTCAGTACGGGATCTGGGCAGTAGGGAGGGAAGGGACAGGGGCAGTACGGGATCTGGGCAGTAGGGAGGGAAGGGACAGGGGCAGTATGGGATCTGGGCGGTAGGGA